GTTTTTAATGTTCGTACAGTAGCAGTGCTTGGGTCCGTTTGGACTCTTAGCTTAAATACGATTCATAGGTCAACCAGTTAAATGTGGAATTATTAAATACTCGGGGGGTCCATACGGATTCAGGCACCACCGTCCGAGGATTAACCCTCGTAGACCACATTCGATTACGGTAACCCAGTCTGTCCGGAAGACACCTGGCATTTCTAAATGTATTATCAAAAGATTTGTGTAAAAATTACTTATATATTTGTGATATAGCCAAAAAAATGCTCTGGAACTACACCAACCCATGTGTGATCGAAACGACGGTAGGACAATACTACTGGTCTTTGAAGGTTAAAGCACCGCAGGCCTGGTTAGTCACAAGTAATTTTCAGACTCATCACAGTCACAGATAGCTTCGAAGAGCATAGTAAGTACTACCACTAGCAAGATACTGAGAGTCACCAAAGGGGTTAACGCGACAGCTCTGAATCCGCTTTAAAGAGTAGCGAACAGCTCGAGGGCAGTAACAGCTTTGGGTATCTTTTGTTCGCGGTCGAGTGGCACGAATGCAAATCGATACGACGAGAGTTCCAGCAAGGATTTCTCGAGCGTCTGGCTCCGGCGACGGCGGTGGCGGTCGAGGAAACGCGGTGCTCTCCTCCTCGGCGTGTTCTCGAGATATCGATCGGGTGCTGCCCGTAAAAGACCAAAAGCAGGAGTGCGAGCAAGCTAGCGAACAACCAGAGCGCCGCAGGTAACCCTAGACAGAGGGAAACGGAGGGAAATGGCAGAGCAAAAGGAAGCCCCCACCGGTGGACGAGCCACTGACACACGCTGCCACTGGTAACTCAACTCTGGCTCCGATCTAAGTTTTCCGCCTCGATATCGTCTTACCGGGACCGCGACCGCGAGGATTACGCAAAAACCGCGGGGCAACCGGCTCTGACGACACACGATTGTCAATTTCAATGGCATTGGGATCATCCTCCTTCGAGATTCGAATGTTCCGGCCGAAAGGCCGGTTGCTCCGCGTCTTTTACCACGTGGAGAAGGTCACCGTCATGGGTTTCTTTTGTCGCGAGGCAAAGTGTCTCGTTTCACGATCAAGGTTGTCCGTGGAAGGTTCGAGGATCAAATTGTGCGACCTTGTTGTCCTATTTCTTAACACCGTTCCGGTCACAGCTTTCATTCGTGTATGGTAGTCTGACTTTTCAGACCTTTCAGACTACTTGAGAACTTATTGCCAAAGCGAAATTCAAATTTTTAACCCTCCGTAGACAATATGGGTGGATGATGACCCAAATGTCTATTTGATTGAAAACAGTTCTGATTATGTGACTTTACGAACGCGATTATATGTATAATATAGTGAAGGTTTTTAACATAAGCTTTTGTTCTTTTTTGTCTCTTGTCGTAGTTTCGTAAGTACTATTCCCACTAGAATGAAAATCATATTCAGACCCTAGCGCGTAGTTGGACCACCTCGTCCACAGGATCGAAACCTCGCGTCTCGTCGAAGATTTCGAGAGTTCGAATGGTCTCGAGGCAACGAAATTTTGGGGGGCTATCGTGCGAAAGAACGCGGGCTCCTCTGACTCAGAAACTAAATATAACCATTAAAATTTTCACGTTCCCCGCTCGCTCGTAAAGCAGGCTCGTCGAATCGTCTGAGCTTTCGAAAGTCAATTAAAGCGTCGGCGTAACGCGAGACTCCTTTCCGGACCGTCTAATGGAGCACTCTCTCCTTGACCGAAAAAGGAAAGCCCGCCGCGCGACGCGACGCGACGCCTCGTGTTTTCATAACAACTTCATCCACGACCTAAATTTTAACGCCAAACAAGGCGGCCATAAAAAACGTCTGCCTCTCGAAAAACATTCAGTTATTTTTTTACATAAAGGACATCCTATTCGCGGCGGTCAGTTCCTTGCTCGTAGTGCCTATTCGTCATACCGAGGAGGACTCACTAACGAGAATTCTTCTCAGCTACAACATTTTCTCATTTGTTTGACGACTTCTCTTGTATAACGACGGATACTGCTACATTCTGAAGTGCTTTCGCTGTGCACAATCCACCGTATCCCATCCAGGATATAGACATTACAGACACTACTTGGCTGTATCCGAAGGCAGGAATTTTGGCCATTTGTGCAATAACGATTAAGGAAAAATCGACTCCACTTTGTATCTATTAGTTGTATAGTATGCGTAAAGATAGATTTCTAAATTCTAAAAAAGGCATACCACACAACTAATACATATATAAAATGAAGTCTCCAAACAATTCTTCACGGCCAGAACTCGTGAACTCTGACACAGACACGGAGTGTCCTCTCCTTTCATCGGTTTTCTAACGCGCGGTGTTCGTCGAACGAGCCAACAAACACCTGTAGCTGTCTAGTCGCCGCGAGAATCCATAGATCAAGGGAAAGGGAGGGGGGCATTATCGGAGCCCCATTAAAAATCGATCGAGCCATTCTGCCAGGGAGACGACCCAGTTGCCCGAATCGGGTAAACAAATGGGATATTTCGCAATCGTGCCCTCCAAGTGGCCGCTCGTTTGAATAAGACCACTGAACAAACCGGTCCCTGCTCCTATTTATCCGGCCCGTACACACTTTACCGAGCGAGGCATTACGTCAGAGCAAACCCGCGGCCGGCTAACTCGCGCAAACGAGTAGATCGTCGCGCATTCTTCGCTCCGTCTGCTGCTCATCCTTCGGAACGCGGCCTTGGCGGAGCCCTTTAAGGACCGCCGATACTACCGTCGCGCGACCCCGATTCTCGCCTGGACCTTGACCACGATACGAGCCAACCTGTTTCGGAGACGGTCGTTCTTTTAAAATTCCCCTCGTCACGGACCGGTTAAGGAAGATCGCGTCGAGTCTCGCAGCCCTCGATACTAAGAAGAAATTTCGGCTATGAAAGATGAAAAAATAAAGATCGAAGGGAACTCGAGAAGTTTCGGGCTCAAACTCGAGGAACGTCCACCCATGCTCCGATTCGCATCGATTTCGAGATAGGTAGGATGGATGATTGAAAAATTCATACGAAATTCTTCTAAGCAGAACGATCTGGGTTTAATCTTTACCAACGTCCGTTACAAGCGATGTAAATACCGACCGACACAAAAAGCGAAAGAGGCAAACGCGCGAGCTTCCGTTAACGTAATCTCTCGTGTCTGAAAGGGGGCGGCATGCAAAAACAAATACACCGGCGTCGCCGATGGAAAAAAAACGGAGCAATTTCTTAATCGTACCGAGAGGCTTTAGCGTAACGCCAGCCGCCGTCATTGTTCCCTGATTCGAGTGGTTAAAAACAGAAAGAAAAATAACGACGGGTTTATCAGAGGCAGACCCCCGGTCGTTTAGCGATGAAATCGAAATAAAGCAGTCCCTCTGTGCTCGTGGCTGTGCAAAAGATCCTCCTTCGCTTTGATCTTTCCTCCATTACGCTGCTAACAGAGAGACTATCGCCCCGGTACAACGACCTTATCCTCCCCTCTCGCTTTGCATAACGGTGGCGCCTGATTTTTCTGTCGCGTCTGTCGAAACTCCTCCTCCGCTTTCGTAATCAGTCCTGCCAACAGTTCCACCGACACAGAAGCATTTTCCACTGACGGTGGAATTAAAAAAGGTACCAAAGTCTGCAAAACCAACTTCAAGTCTACCATTTTGTTTTCGAACAACTTCTGACAAGCCAATTGTCGCCGAAAACGATCGACAAATAAGAGAAATATCGACACGAATATCATCGAAGGATTACTATGTTCCTGGTTGTCGCGTACGAGCTTCACAATGGCCGAACATTATTCTAAGCCGTCGCAGTGTGACGAGCATCGTGAACTTATTTTCGGCGCGGGTTATTTCCGTCGACGAGTCGACGGGTCGACAGGAACGCCGGCCAGAGAAGAAACTTGAACGTGCGCGCGCTTTGGAGAAAATTCTGGCTCAGACTTTCTGCGCGAGAACTCCCTTCTAGACGTGCTAGAAAAACCTATCCACATGCGCACACACGCGGCAGAGACACGATTACTTCGAGAGTATACGACCACGAGAGTAGGTACCTACACAGAGTTAGTTTCGTGCACGACGGTGCTCAAAAAACCTGAAATTAACCCGAAAAGGTTCCAGACACCGGTTTGCTAACACGTAGCTCCAGGGACTTTTACGCCGCGCTTAATTACGAAGACGCTGCGGTACTTTTAAGTAACGAGAGAATTACCCCCCTCGCGAGTCACACCGCTTCGGCCGGTGGAGCAGACTTCCTGCCGGGAAGTGACGTAATAAGAGCAATTAGAATGTTCCACATAACCCGTGAAGTGCTCATAGAACCGGTAAACCGACAGAAAAGTTTGAACCATCGCTTCCGGACTCGTCGCCTCTCGAACGACGACATGTGCACTCCGAACGGAAACCAACAAATACATATGGTGCATCGATCAGCGTATACTCGATAAAAATAGGTTTTTCTTTATTTTTTTTTTTTTAAAATGCAGTTCGACGGTCGAACAGCTGGAAGAAACAACAAAGCAGATCATAGATATACGTATAAATCGAAACTGTTAATAGGACGTTAACGAGAGTCAAAGCGCGGATTGCGTAAAAAGGTGGACCAGATTCGCGTGTTGCCAAGTTGCGCAACGGAGAACGGGTCCCCGATGCGAAATATGCGTCGGATGATTCAGGTGGAATATAATTTCACGTTTGTCGCGCGGGCACGGCGAACTGTCGCGATCTCAAAGAAAGTCGCAAGCCAATTGTCTTTACGGCCCAATTAAGCGACCGCGAGACGGCACCGGAACGCCTCTCGATAGAATGGTCGCGGCGCTCTCTACGGCTCTTTGACCCGTTAGAAATTTCGCGAGCCAGAGAGACGTGACACAAGACTCGATTTCAATTAAATTTTGATAGACGGCTTTTACAAAGTTTCAGGTAGTATACAATTAATTTCAAAGACTTTAATGAAGTAAACTCGATCGAATCGTATAATTATAATAAAAGATATGCATCCTTACCAGCAATTTGTTGTCCACGGTCTTGACGACGATCTCTTCGGGCGTGTACTGGGAGACATCGAATCGGAGTTTCAGCATCTTGTTGTTTCCCTCGTCCTGGATGAGGGGACTGTTGAGTCCGTCCAACCAGGCGGAGTCATGCTGAGGGCTCAAAGAACTGCTGTTCTGAGAGCTCTGCGTGGTGGTGCTGAAAGGTAGAAACGAGCAACGGCCGATTAACACAACGCGGTACTCCATATCGGTTTCTTGCGGCTGCGGGACAAGTGCGCTCGCGGAACGATGAACGAAAAAAACAAAACAAGTGTGGAAAATGCGTCGGCGACGGTGAGAGAGACTGTGTGAAATCAGGACCGATACAAAATGAGGGGCAAAGAGACGAAAGTCTCAGGGTGGCGGTCGAAGGCTCGTGTTCGCCAATACGATTGACCTGGGTGCACAGTTCGAGAGAAAGAGCCTTACCTACTGGTGGTGTGATGATGCAACGAACAGAGAACAACATGGACAGAAACTTGGTCATGGATGGAGAACTAAAGTCGTGCGCATCTACTTAACGGGTCAACTCAACCGGAGTGTGCTGGCGTCGGCGTGTATGTACGGCTTCGCTCGCGAAAACAAAAGTACACCAAGCTAACTACGGAACGCTACTAGAGAGGCTGGTTAATCGTTCGCCGTGGAGTTAATTACTGGTTGACGATCAATGCGAACAATGCATTCCCATTACCTTTTTTACAGTGCAGTTCTGATGGTATTTTGGCGGTTAGCGGTGAGAAAGAAAGAGAAACAGGTAGCTAGGAGATGAGAGTAATACTGGGATATGGATGTTGAAGCGTGTTACCTTATCATCGAACGATCATGTGTATGCTCAAACGATGGCACTCGTTGCGTGAACCAGAGAATATTTCGTCTCAGAAAATAATGGTCTAGAGATAACTCGGTCGGAAATTTAATTCTTCCAATTATGTACGTATACCATCATAGGCAAGAGTACGCGTTTTGAAGAGTGCCATCGATTTGTCAGTACCGTTCATTCAGACGCGTCTCGGCGGTATCGTGGCGAGTTGTTTGCGGGATGAGAAAACAAAATGGCAGGCGTCACTATTCTAGGATCTAGCTAATGATGTCTTCCCGGATGGTTTTTCTGGAGATTGTTCGTTTTCTGTGTTTACAGTAGCGTCACCTTTTGAAGCTGTCGAATGCGGACCGCGTTGGCGGTGGTGCAGAGCCGACCTTGTCCCAACCTCCGGTCTTCGAGGTCGTCGACGTACGGTGTTCGCTGGAGCTGGAGCTCGTGTGATGTCGACTTCGAGTTAGTCACCAACGTGCCAATGCAGAGAGCCAATCAGAAGGCGAGACAGAAGTCGAGCAGGAGGGAATAGGGGACATTATTATTTTTGTTAACTTCGATTGGTTAGTTTCTTTCGTGTCGCTTCCGTTTTTCAGCGGCCATTATTATCGGGCAAGGTCGCTAAACGCTCTCGTCCCGAGAATTTCGAATGTTTCTTGGCGACAAACCATCCGCGTGTCACACGACAACTATTCTCTGGAAATATTTTAAAAACTGTTCGATAAATATTCGACAAACAAACGATAATATGGAATACAATAATTTCGAGCAAAATTACGAGATTGAGTTTTGCGAAAAAATATAAAGCCGTTTTTTCTGTGGGTATGTAACACCAACTTTGAAGCAGCCTTCGTGAAAGTTTCAGGAACTGAAATGTTCGCGGACAAAGAGATTCCAAACGTTCTAAATCGACCGGAGTTGGAAGTTTATCGCCAAGAAACTTTGCATTCAAAAGAGGTGTTTCCAAAGAATTTCCATTCCCAGGATAAAATTACAGGCTTTTCTCCGTATTTACATGTAAGAGAAAAGGTGTAAAGTAGCCCTGAAAGTTTCGTCCCCGCCGTTATTCGAAAAAATTGCTTTCCATGTTGGTATACACGCTTGTTTGAAATTTCTGTGCTTTTGTTTGCTCGTCGAACTGCTGAGCGATGTAAAAAAAAAAAACTTGTGTCGAAATCGAAAAAACAAATACGTATAAAATAAAACGGAGATGTTCCTCGCGGACCAAAAACGCCAAATTTCGGAATCGCCGATGCAAGCTGTTCGTTAATGCGTTTACGTCACCCAGTGTTACGCGTTATTACATCACTCGGCAATTCAGTAATTAAGCAGGCTAAAACCAAGTATCCGTATCATGCCAATCAGCTGTAAGAATTACTTATATGGTAAGCCAGCAACCGAGAGTAGTCGCGAACATCCTGGGAGAAAGATCTCAGAAATACAAAATTACACTGTACAGAACCCGCTGTATGTATATAGGTATATTTCAGGAATAAATATTCTGTATCTCACTTAAAAATGTAAACAGACTGTGGATATAAATCGCATATACATATGATAACGCTGCCATTAAGAAGATCCATACACTCTGAAACGCGTGATTCAAGAAACGTTCACAACTGTAAGCGTTAAACATCGAGTAAACATCACAATGTTTGATGGAATATCGCAATCGTTCGCTGCAATCTTTGCAAAGCCAAACAACCACGATTAAAACAAACAAACCTGTCCGCTTTCCCTTCTTTTAACCAGAAAATCGTACACCGATCGAATCGTATCGATTCGACGGAAATTCTATGCACAAGTTTTTCACGCACGATTACCCGTGACTTAAAGCAAATTATATTAATCGAGAAAAATCTTCTTTTGATTTACAGCCGTGTTTAAATTTCAACCTACTTGGATATCGATCGATGCCACGCCAATTACTCCGATTTTAAACAATCGTCGGCTCTCCGCGAATTAATTTCTCACCGATTCAGGCCGGTCATTGGCGTTATTTATAGCGACTAAAATGTCGGGCTGGCTGCAAGTTTCATAAACCAAAAAACCGGAAATCGCGGCTCTTCTTCGGGGAGGCCACCGACCTGGAAGATACTAAAATAGGTGCACCAGCTGCAACGCGGTGTCATGGCGCGATATTAACCCCCTGGCTCGTACGTGCCCTGACATGCACACGCACACACACACACACACACACACACACACACACACACAGAACGGTTGCATCTATTTCAGGAAATTTGATAACCCTTTGTCGTGCAAGCTAAATTAAGATTAGTAACGTAGGCACACAGCTGTTACAAACGAACTTGAAACCGGGGTAATTTACGTTTTTAGCCTTGCCCGATGGAAGAAGAATCTAGAGTAAGAGAGCCGTGCCAATAATTTCCTGATAAAATGAATAAATTATGTAGGAAATATTGTGTACTGAACGTTTTATTGCATAATACGCTGTCTCTATTGTCTCCGTCGACGATGAAAGCGGAATTACATAAAATGGGATAACGATTTCGAGAAGAAAATGTCCTCGACGTATCCTGTCACGCGACCTACCGTGTCCACGCGCTTTATTTTATCCTGCGCGGCCATGAAAAGAGATAGACCGGCGGAGTCGGCGCGCAATGGGAACGGTAAAACAATCAAAGAAGGGAGCATTAATCCAACGGCGATGTATCTTGGAAGTTCTAAATTGAATGTACGGTTATTAACCCCATCCAGGAAGAAATTAGTTCATCGTGGTGGGAAAAACGGAGCAAAGACGACAGGCCCGAAAGATAGATTGACAGGCTGCTACAGCATTCTTCGATTACCAGAGAGTTAAAATAACCGATCCAGTGAACCCTTCGAATACGCCTATAATTTCTTCCTTGTGAGATCTAATAACTTTTAAACCTAAAAGAAAGTTTTAACGTTCTTAAATGATTTAGTTTTTTCCAGGACGAAATAAAATCCGTACACTCCCGTTTAGTTATAGTCCATCGTTGATTACTACGTTTAGTAACATGTTGATTGAATTAAATAAATAAAATTTCTCCATAATCAACACGTTGAGAAATGCCTTAGTAGCTCAGACAGCCTTGAACTTAAAGGAGGAAAGAAAATTTGAAAAGTTGACTCGTGTTCAAGAGCTTCGACAAAGAGTAGAAAAGAGGGGCGCGTGTATCCGCAAACATTCATTTAATGTTACGCATAGAAGGGACTGAACAGACCCGTTGGTAATCGTGTGCAGGAAGAAGCCAGCGACGCGTTTCGCCCGGCCAGAGAAAGAGGCGAAAAGAGCCGAGAAAAAATTAAAAAGAGGTCTTTCTCTTTAGGGGGCCCCTCTTTCACACGGGACAAAAGCGCGAGCCATATCGAGAAGGATCGCGATTGTCTGTCAAAATATCTTTTAGAGTAAAACACGCGAGAAGCGTTCCGGGGGGTTGGAGAGGGGCGCGGAAAGGCAGCGAGACAACAATTATCCTCGTCAGGAGAAAGGTCCTACCGCGTAGTCTCGACGAGCCAGAAGAGGTCAACCATGCTCGTGCAGGATCTCGCGAGGACGGAACTGTCGAGCTGGAAAGGCCACGCGATACTTCAACGGCTCCATTCTAGCTATTCGTTTTCGTGACTGGATCTCGAAAGGTCTTGCTCGTGCGAATCTAGAGGGACAAGGAAATCCAAATGGATAACGTCGCTTGAACTCGACGTAAACAAGAAATCCCTTTCATCTGTTTGCGCTCGAATAGTTCCATTGAGATATTTTATCGAACACAAAAAGAGCGCAAAGATAGGACGAAGGACAATTCCGATTTATCTCTGGAAAGGTATCAATGTACACAGTTTATAAACTTCTCGGTATGGAATGCAATTATCGACTCGTACTTGGCCTAGAAAGGCGGCTTGAGAAAAATCGATGACTGACAAACACGGTGTAACGGTAACACTCTGACACAATGACCGATGATCACCCTTCGATTATTCTCGCGACGTATAGTATGCAAATTTGTGAGCAAACTTTCAATTAATGATGAAACTCGATAGTTCGAAGGTGACGGGCGTATTCGAACGATTAAAGCCGAAAGATACCCTAAAAATCGATTATTTCCGATTGAATCGACGATAACGTTGATCAATGGGGATGCGATCCCATCGGCGGAACAATTGCTCGTAATTGTATTTTCTTGTTACGCATTGTAAATGGTTAACGGGGAGTCAATCGCTTAATTCAATCACGAGGAATAGGTCAAGCGACGCAGCAACAGATTACCCTAAGCCTAGGCGAGTCTGCATACCTATGTAGATATACCGTCTACCCGCACGTGTGATCCAAACATTGCGAACGTTCAGGATACCCTTCCTATTTAAGAAACACCTATGCATAATTTAAATTTCTCACAATCTGAATGCAATTATCGTGATATTGAAAGAAAACTTCCTAAGACTTAAAGAATCCTCTTTCAATATCACTAACTTATGACCTAAGTTCCAATTCAAGCACTTTATTATACTTACTAACGAGTCTTACTAACGAAAATGAAGTCTTCGTTGCTGTTGACTCTTCGTCGAGTAGCTGGATTTAGACCCTGTACTTTGGGTGTCAAAGCAAAAGAATTGGCAGAACAATAGGGTGTGAAGCGTCCTTAGTGAAGAATTGCAGTTTGTTATACGTATAGTATGTATACCAGTATGTATTGTCTTCATTGGGGATAAAACCTTCACTTTACGATTCTATAGACTACGTATACGCTCCCATCGACTATACCGTGAAAAATGTGCATCCGACTGGTGCGCTCTGTCAATCTGTTAAAGGGAAGCGCAAAGCGCACGTGACTGGATACACGTGGAGTGTGAAACGCTGCGCTAATCATTCCGTAGCACGCCAAAGAGGCTTAATCCGTAAGTGGACATAAATCTTGGCAGCAGGACTGCTCGCCTATAAAGTTTCGAGCATCGATTCGGCATGCTCGTACAGAGCTGTAACGTGTTACACGCGACTCGCCAGATTAATTTCCATCCACGTAGCGCGTCTTGTTATCTGTTCCGAGCATCGTTGCTTTCCATGAAACTCGTTGCGTCGGTCGAATTAATTCAATACTAGGGTCATCGCTATAAATACTTCCGTAATACCAAACACGATCGTTTTTTTATCGATCATTAGAATCCAATAGCGTTACGATTTCACTGAAATAATTTACTGAAATTTTTCCGGAATAAAAGAACGTGTTTGGTCGGATTTCACTTGAAAAATTTGATCAAAAGAATGGCTGAGTCATCCATGGAGCATGCACTATAAAACACTTTCGAAGGAAACTCGGGGAGAGCATTTATTTCGAATTATACTTGTCTATTTGCGGCGAATCGTCCCTGAACAAGAATTGCGTCACCGCTACGCGAGTCCTCGGACCTCCTCGTAATGGTCCATATTCGCCTCCCACGGGTAAACCGACGATTCATGCTCGATTTCGAGCACCTGCCCCCCCCCCCCGCCACCGTCCTTACTCACCGAACGTGTTCCACGCCGCCGAATAAAGCCGAGCTTTGAGCGAGTGATCGAGTGCGCGTCTCGGTTTTCCCGAACGTTTATTCTCACGATAGCATTTTCCAGCGCCCTTAATCAATGCGAAGCGCCTTTGCGAGGCTTTCGACGACCCAAGATACGAACAAACATACAGCACAAGCGTAGACATGGATGGTAACACACGAGAGAAGCTCAAATTTCACTTGGATCTTATTTTATTCAAAGACGGGAGAACTATTTTTGACCTTATATTCTTGTCTACGGCTAAGAAACTCGTTCTACACGTTACCTGAATAATTTATAACATTTGCACAACGGAGACCTTGACAGACAAGTTTCTTCGCACTACATTCGAAGCTCGCGGCGTTGCTTACAAAGGAGCTCGTAAATTTACCGACTAAGGAGTCGAGAATTTCATGTTTCTAACTTCAATGTAGCCAGGAGAAACTTGTTTGAAACTATGAAACTGGTGCCAATCAATTACAAACAGAGATGATATAGTTTTCCGTTTCTATCGAAAGATCGTGGTTTGGTGCTATTCGAAGACAGAACAATTTCGGTGAACTTTCGACAATTTTTCGTACGGGTAGATGCATTCCAAACGGACCGAGGTCATCGATTCTACTCCAATATCGAACGATCACCTTCGGAAACCGTACAAGTACCTACATTCTTGTCATCGCCCGCGCCTGCGAACGTTTATACGAGGTCTGGAGCAAAGCCAAAGCGATACGCGATCATCCCGTACATTGCGTATAAAAGCGTCGTTACCTACCGAAACTTGATCACCGTTTTATGATCCGACGGATAAAGATCCCGGTCCACGACGAACATGGTCGATCCTTCTGCCTTCGATCCGTGGAAATAAACCGAACGACCACCGTACTAGTCGTATTACTGGATTCTATTAGATCGTGGTTACCGTGTTGCTTTCAAAGAGCACGGAAAAATTACTGCGCAAAACGAGGCAGGATCCACGCAAGCTCCTCACCTTTTCCGCACACTTTGCAATTGCAATTTAGTGCACGATTCCGAGTGGGGATGCGTCGTGTCACTGTCAAGGATGCGTTGACGCAATAGGCGATTATATCTCATAACACGTTTGCTACGACCGATGCACGTTTCTAATCGATAAAGTTCACTTTAGGAATAATTTTGGATCATTTCGCCGACTGAGTTGAGCACCAGTGAATAAATAACGATGATGATAATAATAATAATAATAATAATAATAATTCAACAGGAACAGGTCTATTAAAATGTTCAAAGTATCATTGGATTTGTGGGATCTCCAACAAAGGCAACTGCAATGTTCTTCTAGACGAGATTGATCGTAGATCCTGTGAAGAATCTCCCATTCAATGAATCTTCCTGTTCGATGATGCGACGACGCGTCATCCCGATGCATTTAACGAGATTAAAGGAAGAAGCGTGTTTTTTGTTGGAGCAACAAGTTCCGTTAAACGTCACTCCATTATGCAATGTATGGTTCATGGTTTCAACTGATGAATGACAAACGTCGAACATTTACATAATGATCGCCACTCGGGAGACGAAAAATTGTTTCAGGATCCAACGACTGACTCGTTTGATGCCGTGTGCGATTATAGCGAGCAATTTTCTATTACCAACGGGCAACCATTAGCTCTCGCCTATTAGTCTAGACGTACAATTTACCGCTGGCATCGAATTAAAATCGGTTCGTCGAAACTAATTCCGCGTAAAACTGTAATTTCAACCGGTATTTAACACGATTCCCAAATGTCAACCAAGCAATTTGATGACTTAAAGGTTTCTTATTGTTTAAAAATTTTAAACTATGAAATTGGACCCGTTCAAATAGTTTTAACTTTACACTCCACCCCGATGACTAACAGAGAGCTGTTCGAATCAAGAGAACACATGATTCGATTCGGACCGCCCCGATTCGACTTCCTCTTTACGAGCAAATAAAAGTCGCTTCTCCACCTGCTTCGCGTTTCGCGTAGAAATGAAACAGAAAAAAAAGAATTCAATCGCGGTTATACCGTTAACGTCACCGAATACTTTCGATCGGAGACGAGGTATACGAACGACGGATAAAGTCCCAGAAATTACGAAATTTCCCGTAAATTTTCTGCGTCCTCAATTCGTATTTGCCAAGAGCGAACCGAAAATTCACGCAACTTGGTCGAGGCTACCACATGTTAACGCTCATTACACCACTAAAATTTATTGAACGGAGGGGTGGAACAATCTCCCCTCGAGATATCTACCGAGGGTCCTCCGAAAGTTTCGATCTAGGGAGAAAAGTTCAGGGCGGTCCGACTAACACAATTTCTCGTTGCTAGACACTTCCAAAGAATAATTCGTTTCGATACCTCTAGTCTTGCTGTCTTCTACTAAATAAATTAAATATCGTTAAAGGATCATAAACTTCTCGAATCGGCCATTAATAAACCTAGATCAACGGACTCTATAATTAGTGTTTCCGTGGAAAGGCGAGCAACGATACATCAAAGTTCGAACAGACCACCTATTAAAATAACATGACTGTTTGGTTACACGCGGCGTTGGCACGCAAAAACCGTGACACATGGCACGCATTCGGTCGATCCGCTCAATTCGCGCGCGGCGCGGTGCGGCGGTTCGTTCAACGCACCGAATTCCGACGCAAATTCTCCGAATCCCCCAAATGTCTTCGGTTCGACTAAAGAATATTCCATGTGTTCCAATCATTATCAAGCTGGATTTCTAATAAAGACAAGTTCAACTGTATCGTTTTGATCCAAAATCGATCGAATAACGACCGTGTAAATACAGTTGGAGGCGAGGATTCAAGGTCTCTCGCGACGCGTGTCTAGGAATGTGATGGTTTTTTTTTTCGTTTCCCCCCCCCCCCGGCAGGACCCGCTAGCCAAGAGAACATCGAGGGGGCTCGTGTTGTTCGTACCGAATGTACTGACGAAGCCTCTATAAATAGCGAACACGTTACTGAAATACGTGAAACGACGAATATACATGTACATATGTATGCACGCGTGAAAAAAAAAAAGAGCAACAGAATCGCGACCTTAATTTATACCTACCTGCCTAACTACCTCGCTACGAAAGCGATTTTCATTATCTTACAATAACAAATATGTTCGCGCGTGTTGTTGTCATTACATACTACCGCGTATTCTTTTTCTTCCCGTTCCTCCGACTTGTAATCGCGCGAAACGTTTCCTCCTGTAATTCGCCTAAACAACTCGACCATTTTCACACGATTCCCCCCGTTGCATGAGTATTTCAATGCGAGATGCCGACGTGCCGCTCGTTCCGAGCACAGACGATCACACGGGATCGCTTACTCGGGAATTCGAACCGTCAATTATTATAACACTCTGTATCCGACCAGGAATGTGAGAGTACCGTTTCGTTATTCGAAATATCTAAATTTTAGCGACTCGATTTATACACTTGAATCCGATCGAATACTGTGGATTCGAATCTGACTTCGTCGAATAGACGTACTGACGCCACTGTTGTGCTAACTGCCGCTAAAAATCAGCAACCATTGTGTAACCAACAAACGACAAATAAATTGTACGTATTACATTGCGTCTTCTCGACTCCGTCGCACTGCCTGTGCCGGCGAACACTTGTTCGCAATTGTTATATTAATTTCACCCGATCTCGATAATGTCCTGCCCATATTCGTTTCATTTTTACAACTATCGTGATGATGCAATACAACACCACTACGCTTATGTAAGTAATCGAAGTCCATAGCTTGCAAGCTGGAACTTTTTCCACGAGAATATTTCAGGTTGTATACATACATATGTACCCAATATATGCTAAGTTATCGTTGTTGTAACCTGTGGCCGACCTGACCGGTGATAATATTGTTTCATTCTATCAGTTAACTCCAACTGTAATCTGCCCGAATCAACTACCTTATCCGATATTAAATTCTATTTACCTAGCAATCTTTCGACTATGACATCCCAATTGAAATAATTTTCATGTTGCGAAAACGCGGCATCGATCGATTCATTCTAATCAGTTTCGATTAATCGTGTTGATACATACCGAATTCCACCATGAACAGTAACAATGCAATATAAGGGGATCAAGAATAAACACGATCGTAAATAAAAAGAGGCGCTTCTTAAAATTGCAGCGTTAAAATATTAGCTTAACCCTCGGGGAGCTTTGGTAGTCACGCAGCGAGCAGTACCCGAATCTGTTTGGACCGTTACGTGTATATTCTAAATGTATATTTGAACGTATGTAAGTATTTACTTCTTTGATAAATTCCTATCTTTTTAACCCAGCCAATATAACTCCTGATAACTGGAATTATATATTTGTATCATAACTGACGAAATTTCGGATCAAAACAGACCCAGGCATTGCCACCCGAGGGTTAATCGCAACATCGATTCTCTTTTGTTTGTATCTGCGATGAACTTTCCTTTCAAATACATCACTGTAAAGTACTTATTCTAGAATCTAGAACGATCAAAATTTCCATTTGAAACCGAAACACCTAGCGTTCGTGTAAACAAACTATTCTAGAATTTCCATAAAACAAGTACCGTAATGTCCGTGAAGTCCTGGTTTGTTGACAGGATCAAGAACACGAAGGATACCCGATAGTATTGTACAAAAACTAGGATTGTATACTTTTTAAGTAGAATATACGAAAGGGATGTTAAACTAATCTTTGATTCCGAGATACATGTATCGCAAACGCAAGCCAAAAGAGTAATCGTGGCGGTTGTGCGCGCGGTTAATAGGTTAGGTGCGTCTCGGCAGGAACGCCGGTAGCAACGTACCTAGTAGTGCTCTTAAAGAAGTTGTTGCTTTCACGATTCATCAGCTCGCTACGGAACCGTGACATCTCGTCCTCCATCTTTCTCATCTCGGCGTCGAAGCGTTCCCGTATGTTCGAAAACTCGGTGTCGATCACGCTGAAGTCACCGATCTTGATGGGAATATTACGCTTGATACCACTGTCAGCCATGATTCTCTGTTTGACCGCACTCGTGTCTCTTTCACCAAGCCACTAAAGAAGGTATATAGCACTGCTCTCCCCCGCGAACGATCGCTTCTTATGATAGCGAAATTATACTCGGTCACGTACAACCGTACTGCACGCTGTCTCGCCTAAGAATGAGCGCGGCTCACAGGCTGCTCCTTAAATAGGCCCGAGGCAAACGTCGAATAGTTCGTGGGAGTTCGTCGATGCTCGGCTACCTTCGGCAAACTTCGCGCCTCGTACACGCGGTTCAAACTAGCCACGATACATGGAATTCACCGAATCTAGACAACAATTTCTTTGATATAATTGTCTTTACTGTAAACTATAAAATTCTGTGTCATGTTTTGACCATAATTACTCTCCATATTTAATACGCTAAATATAATATCTTAATACCCTCATCTTTTTATTCAAATTAACCGTCTGTTTTTGGAACTGTACATACATGTATGTACATCTCGTCAAGTAGCTCCACATACGATCATCAATTTGTTTATCATTTCTCTACACTGTCTCATGTCTTATTCTGTATAAATACTCAGTTACATGTCGTTTATTATAATGATGATAATAATTAAATATAACAAACCTGATAAGTAAATGAACAAACAACATGAATACAACGTTTCTCAAATCTCTGTTATTTGCCAGCTGAATCGATTTTATTAATCTATGGAGATTAATAGAACCTAATGAAGATGTCTATCGTTAACTAGGTCATCACGGTAATTGTCGTCGTGATGATTCTTTGCTCGCGTTGTTGATTGCAGAAATCCCTTGATGTACCATATATAATTTAATTATCCAATTAATATCATGAAAATCGGATTACCGAAGATTAAGTCTTGTTAACAATATTAGCGTGAAGTATGATAGTGGTAAGAGAACATCAGTTTTCAAAAAGTACAAATACACTGAACAACATAATAACATTTAATCATTTGATTGTTTCAGCGAATAAAACCTTCGGATTGTGTAATTCTGATCGTTAAATTTTTAGGAATTCGACACCGACGTAAATAAAATCACGCATGCATGCACATGTGTTCATCTTCGATGGAGACAATCAATAAGGAAATGATCGCGTCGCCGTATTAGTCATCCACTCCCGCATAGAACACAATGATTCGTCTTGTCTGCGAAATCATAACTTACGGACGCCCACCAATTCTTCTTGTTAGATCACTTATTTATTCAAGAAGCTCGTAAGTTTATGCACATTCCGGAACAACTTTCTTTACCGCATGACAAATTATGTAAAAATTCCGTTCTTCGCGAATAATCTAGAACTTAAAATCGTTGCGTTTTGCAAAATGGATAATATGATTAGAGAATCGGTAGATACATGAATCTAATTGAGTGCAGAAAGAAATTGCAAGTTAATGTTTCGTTTCAAGTACGACTGACTCTAAAAAGTTTTTCCTTGTAACGAAATAGAATTCATATCTCATTTGAACAAAAAGAAAGGGTTTCTTGTATTCTATGTACGCTCGATTTGGCGAGTAACTGTAACTTTCTGTGAACGTCACGGGAACTGTGTGAGATTTTTTTCACTGCGTGAAATCAAGTTGCAAATGATGCCGAATCTATTTTCGAGCGTTGCAGCGTCACCAGCGTCGAAACTGAATGGAGCCCCGCGTCACGACACTCACGACGCCTCCTTATTGTTCATAAATAGTCCTGCCGCCCGACATCGTCCACGATTTCCGGTGAATCAAACCGCGCGGAATGTTTTCCCCGAGGTTTGTGTTAAAGCGAACTCGGGGGTAGTGGATGCCAGCAGGGGCTGAATCACCCTTGCTACTCTATACATATGGATGAATAATGATCTTGCTCTATTTACATCGCGCGTTTTCTTACGTTTGGACGCGCGAATAATTTCGCGACAAAATTCATCGGAAAATTGAAAACGAGGAAACTATTGTATCTTTATCAATGTATCGAAGACAGACGATCGAAAATTCAGAGACGAGGATCATTAACGCATCTGGAACATGACATTATTAACGGTTTCAGAAAGCATGAGATATCCTTGTCGTATGATCGGTTACGTATAAATTTGACGAGTTGAAAAGAAAATTAGTCAGCAACATTTGCATTACTTCTGCCTTGTAAGATCTAGTACCCGATTTCAGACCACAAACCCGTGTCAACCGTGAACGAAATTTCTGAGAACAAAAGCACATAGAACGCGAACAGTCGGGGCGATTGAGATTCATGATAAAGTGTGTCAATGTCAAACTGGCCAGGTCTCCAGACGATGTCTCGAACTCTCGCCGAAACCGATTCGTTCCTGACTCCGTGTGTTTCTCAAACGATCACGGAATCCTTAAGTCTCTGTGTCGACTCTGCGTGGGAGAGCGTGGCCAACATGACGTCACCTATGTGGGGGTTTTAGTGATCGATAAAACGTGTCACAATGGTCCCTAATATGGATTGGGCACACGTTCATTACGTGTCGAGGTGCTGCTACATATGTTCATTCTTCTCTGATGAGATTCCTTATCGAGAAATGTAGGCTCCAACTTATTTACATAGCTGGATATTTACCTAGATGGTAATTGGTTACAAATGTGAGTGTTTACTTTGTGCATATCCTTTTAGGAAATTCTCATAGTTGTTAGTTTTGGTTCAAGATACATGAACAAATCAGTTCTTCGGAGTGCGAAAATTTCTTGGTAGGTAGAATTCTTCCTTATACAATGTAATTGAAGTTATAATTACGTTGTCATATACATTCGGTAGACTGAAGACAGATGCAAGGTTGTTCATCTAGCAATTATACGTTGCGGGATATGTCGAAGAAAACAACTAAACTGAGGCTGTTGAAAAGATAGTAGCTCCTCGCTACACGCCACCAACTATTAATAGCTGACAAAGTCCGAGAGAGCTAGAGTATCCGAGGCCAAATTCGATCGAAGGAATTCTTTAACCATTCGACCCTTTCGGCTGTCATTCTTCGGCAATTCAATGTCGAGGGTACGATCTTAAGTAGCACGATTTCGTGACCTCTCTCTGCGCCAACTTCCTTCAGCCGCATACGGATAGGAGAACAATAAAATTGTTTCGTTATTTCCTCCGCGGAACGTTAAAAATAGCATCGAATTTTACGACAGTAGAACCTGAGAGACTATAGTTACGTTATAAAAAACATCATTTGTATTATTCATTGTTGCTGTATGTAAACAATAGTACGCGGGAGAAAACTAAAGAAATGGTCTTTCAGTTTGAGAAAATAAAAGTAAGTGTTGGTACACAATGAAGCCATAAAAGGTGATTTCATTCAATGTTTCGCTACCAAGCGGATAATAAGCACTTAATAGTAATTTGTACTTGGCTTACTTAGAACGATTGAATGAAGAGTAGTAGTAGTCGTCGTCGTCGTCGTCGTCGTCGTCGTCGTCGTCATACGACGACTTCGCATCAGTATCACTGACTTGAGTACAAATGGGGCTTGAGGTTAACGCGCCGTGATGTCATTGTCTGATATCATAGATACCACTTTCTATTTTGACGCTTAACTTTGACTAATGTAAAAGGAAGTATATTAGTTTAACTTATAAAATGCCACCCTTAAATTTAACGTACCCTTAATATATTAAATTTCTGTACATTATTTTTCCAATTAGTTCAAGGTAAGTCCAAAAGTTATTTGCATCTATGAAATGTTGTTCGCTGACACAATATCAAGCAGATTTGTAATTTTACGAAGATTATTTCCGAATTTTCAGCTACTTTTCTGCAAACCTATGAAACACGACACTAACTGGTTTGTTGTAACATTCGCGGTACGTGGGTTTGCAATGTGATCTGGTTGCAACTGCTTCTAGCGTACGCATACACTCATGTACTTTCTACATAAATGAAATACCACGAATTAGCTTTCAATGCCCAAACTGCTTGCTTGTTAAGTTACATTTTAGGTCGGTACTTGGATCGTGTCAAATATCCAAACATTGTTAACACTCGGTTTGATGTGAAAACAGTTTAAAAAACTAGGTCATAGTAGCAGTTAAATAAAATGCGAATTACTGAGAAAGTAATACTGTTTTATTAGTTCTATGAAATAGAAAGAAAGATTACATTAATAATTATCTGCAAGATCATAAAGTCGAGAACCATGTTACCCACAATGTGTGGTACAAGTGTGGTTATCGTCCTTTATCTTCAGTGCGCGTGAAAAACGCCGTTACACGCAAGTTAATGTGACTGTGGCCAATGTCACTGCCACGAATAAACTGAGAATACGTAACTCGACGACAAACGTCCGTGATATATTGAACTGATTGTGCAAGTATTACTCTTTTATAATTCTCTTTAATATACAGTAGTAGCGTTGTACTCACATTGTAAGACCAAGTGCCAGCAAGGAAATAAATACTAAGTATTTCTTTATGATTTCTACTAAATAAATCAAGATAAATAATAGTGAGATCGATTATAAACAAAAAATTTAATACTTCCTGTATTCGTTCCCAAGTTGAAAGCTGTTTTTAGAAAAAATAATCTATAGATATATATATAGATAGGAAATGAGAAATCTTTTACTTAAACCACTGTTCTATTTTCTAATATTACATTACTTTTAAACAGTCCACATGAGATTGTTTTATCTAATTCTGAAGAAAGTGCTACGGTAATGATCAATATACCTATATGTACATATATTGAATAAGGAAGGGAAGAATGCCATTTGAATTGCCGTCACTTGCGTTACTTGATTGCTCTTAAGTCCCCCTTGCGTTTATCGTCAGTACTAAATTAACGTCTTGTCGAGGTCTGTCGAAGTCTGTCAACAGTCATGAAGGCACGCGTGAACAATGATTCGAATGGACAGCAATCAAAAGACGGGAATGAGAAAAATCGGAACAATGAAAAGAAACCATTCGACAAAAAGAAGTATAGGACACAAAAATACAGTAACAAATACAAAAGTATGTCCGAAACTATGCGAGTAACGTAAAGATAGGTTAGGTTTCATGGCTGAATATTGTTGTTGCGGGATCGTTGTACGTGTTTTTCAATAGTATTATTTCTTGACAGTTAATCAATGGGAGGAACGCAGGAAGAAGGCAATTTTACGCGATTATTACAAGGAGCTCGATAAGAGCCAACGAGATTCCAAGAAGCCACTTTCACTGAAGGATGGTGATCAGGATAAAAATGATAAACAGTATACATTCGGACATTAAAATTCTCTGAAGGTATAATGATAAGCTAGTGTAATCAAATTTATTTATTATAGAATGCAGGTGAAGAAAATTAGTGCTTTCCATAAAGCCAAAAAGGAGTTCTTGCGAAAAAAGGATGAGAAAAGAGAAAGAAAAGAGGAAGCTATGCGAGTAAAATCAGAACGGGAAGAGGCACTCAAGAAATACAAGCAAAAAAGAATGCAAACTTATAAGAAACTGTCAAAGAAAACAAAAAAGGGACAACCTGTAATGAAAGACAGATTAGAAATGTTGTTGGAAAAAATACAGCAACAGATATCAGACTAGTACTTTGAAGCAATTCACATGATTCACACAATACCAAATTTTGTATTTTAAAGCTAATGCAATGTTAACAGTTCTCATACATGTACATAAGTTAATATAAATAGTCAATAAAATTCTGTTTCTTTTTAAATTATGTTTACTGTGGACCTATAATTCTCTCATCATTATCAAAACTGTATTTCATAACATAAAAAAGTGAATGGAAAAGGTATCAAGTTATGTTTGAAATTCAAGTACGTTTAAATTCAAAATTGGTTAATTCTTGGCGATTATTCTTCTGTTTCGATAGTGAGATAGATGATGAATCTACGATAATCGTAAAAAGATGAAAGAATCGATGAGATTTTCTCGATTCGAAATACGAATTTGGCTGTGCACTGGCTAAAGCGCAGGCGCAGTGGCATTTGACGGGCAGCCGTCAGCTAGTCAGCGGTTGCAAATGGCGACAGCCACGAAATCTCTGGCACCGACTCGCGAATAGTTTCACGCCTACCGAGTGCTGCGTGACCGAGCCGTGCGTGAACGTTACCCAAACTCAGATCGGTATGTACTTAAAACTGATCAGATAATCGACGCGCACAGCAGATAACCTCTTTCTTCGTTAAATGTAGTCGCGCTTGGTGGCACTCTTCTTCTGTGCACGACAGCTCCTTGGGAAGACAAAAAGTCATCGTTCGACCTGTCTGTCCCCTTCGAAACATTCCTTTTGCCTGCTCTGGCCTGCTCGTTCGATGCACCATAATCTTCGATTAATCTCACGGCGAGCGTTACCACGATTCACAGATCTAATATCCTGAAAGTTTCCACGTAACGGGTGCCACTATCAGCGTTTGCACGGCACTGCTGTCAAAAAGTGTTTGGCCAGCGGAATCTGGGACGCGGTACCGGCTTAATCGCTCGATTTTCCTTTCGGGCGTCTCGATATTCTGTTCTGCATCGTACCGCTTATCCGTTCGATTTCTCTCTTTCATCCGACGTATTAGATTTTCTTGCTGATATTATACTCGAATCTAATTTACTGAGCGGTTTTTCGAAGTTGCGCTCAGGATTGAAGGGCTTGTCGGCTCGAGTACTCTTAATCAACGAATACCTATGATCGAATCATTTTTTTTTGAGCTTCATTCCCCCTATACATAGACCGCGTGTCATTAAATGACGATGCACAGTGGCTGACGAAATAACATGTTCAAACGCCTACAATTTCAAATTTCAAACAACAAATTAGGTAGACGTGATTCTATGGTATTTTCACTACCACTGATAGACACTATCTGAATTGGATTTGAAAAATCAGAAGAAAATTTAATAGTGTATATGCAATATAGATACAAATTATTGACTAATATTTGTAAGAGATTAAAGGTGTAACAATTCATTAGTATTAAAGATGGTCCAATTAAATATAAGTCACTACTTAAATAGTTGCATGATTTTAATAAGGAATATTTTATTGCTATCCCACAATTGATTTTCTTTAAATCTTGTTAGCATAATTATAATAGATCCACTTCCCTATAGACACTATAAAAGATCAGAATGCTTATTTATTAAAAAGTTACATATCATTAATTAAAGTATGTTTTTGAGTAGATACAAAAGTACCTTTGAATATATTCTGATTCACAGGTGGTTTTGAGAAGGAAACAAAATGCCAGCTGTGAGAGGAGATGGAATGCGTGGACTGGCTGTGTTCATTTCTGATATCAGGAATTGTGAGTCAATTTAACTGTACATTATTAAATTCTGATATAATATATGATCATTGCATTCGTACGTATTGATAGAATATTGGATAACAAGCAATACAACTTAACATTTGGATCATTGAAATTTTGACCCATGTTCCATCCATTAAGAGATAGAATGCCATTGAAACTAACGTGACACACAAAGTATTTAAAGCAGTCAAGAGTAGGAGACAGGGGGGCGGAGTTCTGATATAGTCATATCTTTCTGATATAGCTTGTCTTTCAAACACCAATATGTAATACTTGGCATAATGTAATAAATGTCTGCTAAAACTAATACTTTGAATTTTCTTGGCAAATTTTTATGAAAATAAATAAATAAGAAAATAATTTAATGTACACTTTAATTGCTTCATTTTTTTATGTTACAATAGCCTAAATAATTGCTTAGGAAGTAGAACAAAAAGTTAACTGATATAGGACAAATCAATACATGTGAGCTTTGATGCTAGTCCAAATGGCATACAGCCATTATAGTTTCCTATAAAAACTATTGACAAATATACATTTACACATATAAATTTATACAAATTATATAGGATAACATAGTAATCAATTTAAAAATATAACACAAAAACATGTATATTGATGTTGCCAGGCAAAAGTAAAGAAGCAGAAATCAAGAGAATAAACAAAGAATTGGCAAATATTCGGAGTAAATTTAAAGGAGACAAACCACTTGATGGTTACCAAAAAAAGAAATATGTCTGCAAGCTCCTTTTTATTTTCCTTCTTGGGCATGATATTGACTTTGGGCATATGGAAGCTGTTAATCTACTTTCATCTAATAAGTATTCAGAAAAACAGATTGTAAGTACTAATTAATATAGTGTTTAATGCCCTAATTTCTCATAAATACATTGTGCTTAATCACAGACTATTTAAGTGTTTGAATATTTTACCTATTTCAGGGATATCTTTTCATATCAGTCTTAGTAAATACAAATAGTGATCTCATTAAGTTGATAATTCAAAGTATAAAAAATGATCTTGCATCCCGTAATCCAATTCATGTTAACCTTGCACTTCAATGCATTGCCAATATTGGTAGTAAGGAAATGGCAGAGGCATTTGGTAATGAGATACCAAAACTACTTGTTTCTGGGTAGGTTAATGCAATAAATATTGTGCTTACTTTCAGTTCATTAGATTGTAAAAAAAATTACTAAAATTTCGAATTACTTTGTGACGATAGGGATACTATGGATGTAGTAAAACAAAGTGCAGCACTGTGCTTGTTGAGATTATTGCGTACTGCACCAGATGTTGTACCTGGTGGAGAATGGACTTCGCGTATTGTTCATTTATTAAATGATCAACATCTTGGTGTTGTTACCGCAGCAGCATCTTTAATAGATGCTCTTGTAAAAAGAAATCCAGATGAATACAAGGGGTGTGTCAGCTTAGCAGTTTCAAGATTGAGCAGGGTATGGCATAATTTGTTAGTCTGGCCCTTAGTCAACAGATAGTTCTTTGACATTTATTCTATCTCATTAGATTGTGACATCGAGCTACACAGATCTACAGGATTATACATATTATTTTGTGCCAGCACCATGGCTGTCTGTTAAATTACTACGATTGCTACAGAATTATACTCCACCTGGTAAATTATTATTTTGATTTCGAATTTAGATTAAGCATCTAAAAATGTTTGAACTTAAAAACTAAATTTTTAACAGCTGAAGATCCAGGTGTAAGGGGCAGACTAAACGAATGTCTTGAAACCATATTAAACAAAGCCCAAGAACCACCAAAGTCAAAGAAAGTGCAGCACTCTAATGCGAAGAATGCAGTTCTGTTTGAGGCCATTAGTTTAATTATTCACAATGATAGTGAATTGTCGTTGTCGGTCAGAGCGTGCAATCAACTTGGCCAGTTCCTTTCCAATCGTGAGACTAATCTCCGCTATTTGGCACTTGAATCTATGTGTCACCTAGCTACATCTGAACTTTCACACGAAGCAGTGAAGAAGCATCAGGAGGTTGTTATTCTCTCTATGAAAATGGAGAAGGATGTGTCTGTGAGGCAGCAGGCTGTGGACCTTTTGTATGCTATGTGTGATAAGAGCAATGCAGAAGAAATAGTACAAGAAATGTTGAACTACCTTGAAACCGCAGACTACTCGATTAGGGAAGAAATGGTTTTAAAAGTTGCAATTTTAGCTGAAAAGTACGCTACCGATTACACTTGGTATGTTGACGTTATACTGAATCTCATTAGGATAGCTGGTGATTATGTGTCGGAAGAAGTTTGGTACAGAGTTATTCAGATAGTCATCAATAGAGATGACGTGCAAGGATATGCAGCAAAAACAGTGTTCGAGGTAATTGGTGAAAGTTTCATTGATTAAAGTTCATTTTACTAATGAGAAGATTTTATATGAAGTTAATCTTTATTCGACTAGGCCTTACAAGCACCAGCATGCCATGAAAATATGGTTAAAGTTGGTGGCTACATACTAGGCGAATTTGGGAACCTTATTGCCGGTGATAAACGTTCGTCTCCAGCTGTACAGTTTCAATTATTACATTCCAAAGTGAGTTTTATATTTTCCTATGTACCTTATATTATACCCGCATATATTAATATCAGCATTAATTCACTCTGTTCTCTTTAGTATCATTTATGCTCCCCAATGACTCGAGCGTTGTTACTCTCGACATATATCAAATTTGTTAATTTGTTTCCTGAAATGAAAGGCCAAATACAAGATGTATTCAAACAACATAATAATTTACGTAGTGCGGATGCAGAATTGCAACAGAGAGCTTCAGAATATCTTCAACTAAGTATTATTGCATCCAGCGATGTCTTGGTCAGTACTAATAGAATTTAGCGAAACTTACAGTTTATATAGAGGAATAGATATATTGATCAATACTTCTTATCTTTCTTGTAGGCCACTGTTTTGGAAGAAATGCCTGCATTTCCCGAGAGAGAATCTTCAATCCTTGCGGTGTTGAAAAAGAAGAAGCCCGGTCGAGTACCTGAGAACGAAATCAGAGAAAGTAAAAGTCCTGCACCGAATGCTAATCATCATGTAGAGGCACCTGCCAATGCAACAGGAACTGTTAATAATACATCGGCAGATTTATTAGGTCTTTCCACACCACCATCTTCTCAGCCAACCAGCAACACAGGAGTACTTTTCGATGTGCTAGGAGATATTTATAATATGCCGAACAAAGTCGGTGCTACGAATGGTGCCCAAAACACGTATAATCCTAAGAAGTAAGACTATTTAAAAATATTTCAAAGAAAATCCGCATTCATATATCAGATGTATAATATTGTTCAGTTTCGGAATATTTATGGTGAACGGAAGACGTTGATCGTGTTTGCGATACTCCCTTTCTTTTTAACGTCGAATATTTGTGTTTTCTAGGTTTGTTTGTAAGAATAACGGGGTGCTATTCGAAAATGATTTAATTCAAATCGGAGTGAAGTCAGAGTTTAGACAAAATTTGGGACGCGTCGGTCTATTCTACGGAAATAAAACTCAGTATGCTCTTCATAGTTTTCAAACTCAGCTTTCTTGGACAGAGGAGAATCAAGCAAAATTAGCCGTGCAAGTCAAGTCAGTAGATCCAGTCCTAGAAGCTGGAGCTCAGATTCAACAAATGATTAACGCAGAATGTATCGACGACTATAACGGTATGAGAAAACAAGTTACATAACATTCCAAGAAAGATTAACTAGTAATTGCAATTCAGTTGAACCTTACAAAGATACTATGAAATGTTTTTCTGCATACAGACACGCCAAGTATGAATATTTCTTTTATTTACAACAATGTGCCACAAAAAATAACAATGAAATTGCCATTAACTATTAATAAGTTTTTCGAACCCACGGAGATGAATGGCGAATCATTTTTTGCGCGATGGAAGAACCTTGGAGGGTACGTGAATTATACAAAATTTTATAAAATAATCCGTTATCTTCTATTTTATCTTAATAACATTGTATTACCTTGACTAAAATGAACTTCGGTCTTACATGTTCAGACTATTTTTAGAAACAGCCTAATATACGTATGTGCTGTTACGATCATTTTCAAAATGAAATAAACGATGTTTAAAACGAATAATATTTTTTTAGGGCAAATCAACAACGTTCGCAGAAGATTTTCAAGGCGCAACAACCATTAGATCTTACGCAGGTTCGCACGAAATTGCAAGGATTCGGAATGCAATTGCTCGACGGTATCGATCCGAATCCCGATAATTTTGTCTGCGCGGGAATAGTACACATGAGGGCACAACAAGTAGGATGTTTGTTACGTTTGGAACCTAATAAACAAGCACAGGTAACTTGTGCTTCACGACATCGTAATCAGTGTGGCTTAACAATGATCCACAGGTTTGTCGATGGTGTTTACTTACACTTTATTTTACAGATGTTCCGTTTGACGGTACGCTCAAGTAAAGAATCGATGTCAGTAGAGATCTGTGACCTGCTGGTGGACCAATTTTAAACGGCCTAGCAGGCGTGAAGTTAATCTAAGATACATTAAAAACGCCGTGGGAAGACATATCGTGATCATGAAAGAATGTCGTCTCTCGACGTTCAGAAAGATACTGATGATTACTTGTTAAGAGATATTCGTTGTACCCAAGCTTACGCTCACAGCGCGGTCGGGAGAACTGAACCTTTGTGTAGACGAAGCGTTGTTACCACGTATAATCCTGAAAATTAAGGCATTGGATTACCGGAACGTACAGTCAACGTTACTGCGTATAATTATCGTATATAATTATGTGCATGAAAAACAAAAACGAAACAAAAACCAAATGACACATGCAATGATCATGATGGGCAATATTTTAGTCCACTAGCGAAGGTAACAAGCATAAACACTACATTTGTCCTTTTCGTCTTTTTTTGTTTATTTAACGTACCTTTAGTAAAAATTATGATTCGTAACTTATCCAATGACATATAGATGTTTACGCCACGAGTATTCGCAAAACACCGGTCCGGAAACAGTATCGCAATCGGATTAGTAACATACATTTTTTACCAGAGTTTTGATAGCCAGGTACTTTTTTCCACTGTGTTTTTTCGATGAGTTTATCGTAGCGATCAGCGTCTTTTCCAGCGATTCCGTGTTAATCAACCCGTACAGTTGCGTTCTCGTGGTTCTCACTCATCTATGCCTCCTTAGCTCTTCTTTGAGCGTACGATTCTTTTTGTTTCGTACCAATTTCAGTTTTGAGATTATTATTATTATTATTATTATTATTATTGTTATTGTTATTGTTGCGTGAGCGAGAGTAAATTTGGGCACGATGACAGTAGCTGTATAATATTAGTTGTTTATCGTAGATTTTCTTGTATTTAACGGAGCTCAAAATTTCTCTTGTAATTAGTAGGTTCGATATCATCGCTCCTGGTCCCGATCCCCATTCCGCTTCTTCCCCCCTAGTGATTTTGTTTTACCTCAGACGTTGGTGTATAAAATCCATGGCTGGTCACATCTTTTTGGCTCGTAGAGAGGGGCGATTGTGTTCAAGCGAATGATGAACGAACCAAGAATTTCTTAGAGGAAACTTTTTCTAATCGTCTTTAACGAGTCTTGTGTGAGATGTATATTTCAGTAGTATATCTTGTACAGATGATATTCGTAAATGCGTTGAACATTAATTATGTTCCCGTGAGTGCTAACGAAGGAATGAACAAAAAACAAAAGAAAGAATAGAGCAGCTCTGAGCGATGTTTGAACCGCGTTTGCATTGCAACCCATGCTTCGATTACTCCTGTCTGTCTTTGTTATGAAAATTGTAAAGCCTTAATTGAATTGTACATAAAAAAAAATCCGTTAATTAAATATGCTGATAAGGAGCCATTGTAAGAGACAAAGAATCCAGTATTTGCTGGCACGAGGATCTACAATATCGTCTCTTCCTGCTGTTTCATTTGTATTTCTTTATCATGCGAACACGAGATGTATATTTTTTTTATGTTCGTATAGTATAAATTTATATTCAAAACCTTTTTCCTTATTCCACCTGTAATCTTTTTATTACTTTTCTTTACTGCGTACGGTGTATTATTTGCATACGGCATGAATTAACAGTTTAAGCATGATTACGCAGATTTGTGTATGGAGCACGTTGTTAAGACCACCAATATCTCTTACACTGAAGTTTGTGGTATCGTTACGTTGAAAGAATGTAAACGTATGTAATATACTTTAGCGATTCGTCAAAAATTAAATAACAGGTACCAAAGGTTCAGACTTTCGATTTCAATTTTAAAAGGACTCGTGTTCTCAAAAACGTGATCCTCAAATGAGTTTTATGTTGAAGTTATAGAAAGATTTTTCATCGAGTATCCATCGATCGTATAGAAACGGAAAGCATAACGATCATAATGCATTTTACAATTTTTTTTGTTTAATATTCATTAGAAAAATGCTTTTGTAATTTCAACTCACTTTTTTAGATAGTCAATTTTTTTACAAAGTACCCTTTTTATTGCTAAATATTTAATTCGTGAGACGAGATACGTTAAGAGTATGCTATACCAAACAGTAAAATCATTCACAAGATACATGCATATGTGTGTGTGTGTGTGTGTACCTGCAAAAGTTCTATAAGATAGTGGCTATATTTAATCAATGCTTGTTCAATACTTTTAATCTGTTTTTACTTGAAAACATAAACATTGTATATTTTACAAAAGAAGAACAAACATTCCTCACTTCAGATAGCTCGAACAAAGAATGTCGATAGCCATACAAATAGTTTCTAAGTCGATCATGTAATTTTGAAACATTGTTACACTTGTTTCTTTAAATTATATGCCTGTACAGGGTCGATTATTATTTAATATGATTTAATTTGAAATTGAAATCCTTTACGTTAATATTAATATTAATACAATATTATTTTTGTCTACCAATGAACAAATACATACATATACGGTAAAATATATTCTACATACACACTTGGTTATGAAAGAGAAGTACCTATACATTACGCAGGAACAATAATGTAAATATAAGAAGTAATCGAGCGCCAGCTCACAGACATATTGAATCGCCCCAGTCATGGATTATATTCAAGCGTTTCGGAATGGCTAACGAGGTTCGTCTCAATTCTACTGCTATCACACGTATCTGTATGTACATGTTTATCATCACGGAAATGTGAATCATGTTGTTCGTTCACCCGATTAGACTCGCATATGTACATGTGTGCTGGAAATTCGATAATTTTCCAGTGGAATTTCAGCAGCATCGTTGAAATAGATAAAATAAAGAAAAAGATACGGCGGGGACAAGTATAGTATGGTTTTCGCTAGATTTTTTAGTAAATTTAAAACTTTTGTTATAATATTTCTTAACTTACTTAGGGAGATACCTTATATACCTTTTACTTACATTCGGATACAGAAGATGCTGCTGAAGTCTGGCCGAGAAATGTTTGAACACCCTCTAATACACCCTACATGCATAGAGTTAAACCGCTAAGCCTGGAATTGTTAACATTTGCCACTCTTAGGTGCATGAAAAATGTTCAAGAAAGAATTATTGTTAAGATCAAACATCGCGAGTATTGCTGGGATATTCAAGTTCGAGTTTTTCTTCCTTGATATTGCTAGATAAAGCTGTGAAACTGTTTACAAATCCAGTTTTAGATAACCTACCCTGTATACACACGCGCGTGGATACGTATATACATATAAATAAAATATATATACTATTCATATAAAAATTATACATATATATATATATATATATATATATATATGTATATATATATATATTATATATTATATATGTAATACGAATTATTGAGAAATGAAAACGTGTGCGGTGACACACAATTGTTAGATTATTGTGTTGCGATGTCCCTGATCGAATGGTGATCGTGACATACGAATGAGGCGCGTTTGTTACAACGCTACAGAGATTTATTCCGGTGAATCCTTTGTCATTGCCCACCGTTGCTTTCTCACACCTCCTCGTGTATAGATTTAATTCTAGGGAATTCGATAGGAACGCGTTCGTGAGCGGGCTCTGCAGAAACGATTGTTTGTGATCGAACGTTTAACATCATAAGCGGATGCTTGTAAGAAACCTAGGAGCGTGATTTAAACAGACAACACCGATGGTCACTGTTTTCTCAAAAATAATGGAGCCATCCAGTGCAATGAACAGTTGTGTGCAACGTAAACATGATTCCAAATACGCGTCGGTCATAGATTTTGTGCTTTGTTCAGAACCGCGAACAGTATAATAAGCTGTACCATATTCCTTGTCTAAGTCTGTCTTCGTTTTACAGTTGTCCCGTATTAACTTGTATTTACTTACGGTTGTAGGGGTCAAGAAGTGAAATGTAATAATCCACAATGGCTCCGTGGATCGTGTAAGTGATTAAAGGACACTTGGAACGTGTACGGGTTCCCGTAGATTTCGATTCGCTGAGCCATCGACCGTGCTAGTTCCTTTATTCCCTGTTTCGTTCACGATAAATCTTACATCCTTACACGTGCCCAGCACAAAGCTTAAATACCGAGACACTCGTTAACGAATGATATTAATACTTATGAATCGAAAGTAAGGATTTCTATATTCAATCTGTACGGGATATTCTCGAGTTGTTTTCGATCACGTTTTCTCTATTATCAATGACAACGTTAATTCCTTTATGAGTGTCAGGCTTTTGACTTTCGAGTCTTTTTTTTTTATTATTCAGTTCGGCGTACATGTATGTTTGTAAAATGCCCATGATTTATATTATTAAACTATACGTACATACATTATACATATATGTATTGTATAATCTCGTACAACGTGTGCCCTTTTGTTTTAACTTAAAATTTAACTCGAAACATTCGAATCAGAAATATTACCAACGGTTGCAAATTATCTAAAATTTTCATTATTGAGGATTTCATGACGTACATACATAGAACTCTGTCACCTAAAATTCTTATTACGATTGATTGATTTAGTGCCAAAAAAAGGAAAAAAGTCGCAGTCTTTTCTTCGATTCTGAAAGTATGTAAATTTCCACGAGGTCCATATTACGCGAACGCAACCAGAAGAAATTGTACGATGGTGCAGGGAGCATCGCGAAATCTGCCTAACACAAAGAACGTCCTGGAACTGGAACACACGTGGTGCCGCGTTACCATATTTTTTCCCCTAGCTTTTTTAACACGTTTTCGATCGGTAAAACCCCATAATGTTAACACAGTTGTTCGGTGAGTACCGTGTAGGAATTGCAACGGAGCAAAGTACATACATATTCATTTCGTGCCAGAATGTGTGCATCTTACGTTCGATACTCGAGTAAATGTACGCTAAACCGCTTCGTATTATTACACAGCACAGTTTCGAGACTTACCCGGGGCGTCATTGAACCGACGGTATATACAATCTTGAAGTGTTGATTTTGATACATATGAAAAAATATTTCGAGAAACGTAGAATAAAATTTGCTGATATAAATATCTAATTTCACTTTATTTATCCATCAGTGGCTATGTCTACTTACGTTAATGTTTACTAACAGTATGAATGGTAAGGTATTGCTTGTATCTTCGAATAATTTGAAGGAGGATAGATAATATGCAAGTAGAAATAGCGAATAATGGTCAGACATGGTTACAGCTGTATTCGGGAAGCAAAATTGACTCCTTTCCGAAATGAAGCCATAAAAAAATGTTATTCTATATTTTCGACTGATTTCGGACTGCTTGGTGACACCCGATACCTCGTCGAGACGAGAACACACACAATTGTTAGATTATTATGTTCACTCAAAGTTCCTTAGAAAGATAGAAGACACATTATAGCCGAGGTTACCTTAATTAATAGAGAATAATTAACGCAGTTGAATCGATGGAATGCGAGGATCATTTTAATCGTATTTATCTCATTACGGCATGTTTTACAGCGACTTATTTTTATAGATAGATTTTACGGTTGCGAGAGTATAATGACGTTGTTTCCAGATATCACTCATAAAGCCCATTATATTATCGTCACTCGTCGCGTGTAGCGGTATTCTTGATTAACGGTCGTAGCTTAGCACGTTTAGGGATTGTATATGTGTAATTCAGTTTCGCGTTGACTGTGAAACGTGAACGTTTTCACTGCTACAAGGTTCACCGACAGAGAAAACGTTAACGGGACGAAACAAAGAAAGTTATTAACAAGAATGTACAACGCTGATGTATAAAACGATATACTTACCGTTCGAAAGAACGTAGTCTACAAATTTTTTCTACCTATCGGTTTTCTATCGTTCCGACGAATAAAAGGAATTCTGCGCCGCGTGGATGGGGACGAGGAGAGTTGTCGAAACATTTTTAAGGCCGTTAGTGCATTATGGTAGCAGTGGAAACATTAAATCGAATTTAACGTTATCGCGAAACCGTCGTCACGATATCACTCGTTTACACTTTCTTAATTTCGATCGAAGCGTTATATCTCGTTCTTGGATGCAGTACAGTCGAGAGTTAAGACATACGCGAAAAAATGAAAAGAATTATCAAATTACGCGCCCTTGTATGCAGCTCACACGGCATCGCAAAAATGGTTATATTCGTTTGTATGTATTTTTCCTCTGACAATATTACTACCATTTATATCGTAGTGCACTGTGCATAATAATTCATGTATCGATAAATTTCTAACGAAATCACGTTGAATACCTGATAAGGAATGCGTACAATTCGACAAGACGCGACAATAGTTGAATTTCGAGATCGTAGCACGCGAAGAACCGTATACATATAGTATACATATACATATTATCTCTTTCTATCGTTTCGAGCGTGAACGTGACGAAAGGAGGGTGTGTAATAAAAAGAACATAGATTATTATATCTGTATACTTTATTGTGTCTTCAGTAGGCGTCTGTTGCGGCCACGTTCATCGGCGGAACGAACGATGAACGTGAATAAATAAAAACGAATAAAAAAGAACATAAGAATTATAGGTATTACTTTGATGAATTTCCATTCATGTCATACGATACAAACATCCAGGGTTGCGATTTGATTCCATCGTATTGGTTAATTTCACGAAACACTATGGTTTATCGAATGGAGAATGGAAATTCCCTGTTTTCGTTCCAATTAAAACCCTTCCACTATGGCAACGTTTGGGAATTTATAAGTAACCAACAAATACAAAAACCATCCAAAGTTTCGATAAGTGTGACCATAGTTCTAGCTACTATACAGGTATAGTAACGAAAGGATCAACGATTCGAACAGTAATTAAATCGCCTCGTTATTCTTTCTATTTTTATTCACAGAAGTGTATTCGCACACACACACACACAGACACTGTAGAGACATTACAAGGTGACCGCGATAAAGAATCTCCCCCGGGAGACAGAGGAGCGTGGAGAGAGCGAGAGTGCTTCGGGGTCTCTGAGGCACACGTGAATCCTCTTTGGAGAAGAACAGCTAAATTTTCCAATTCTTTCGCGGTGCATTTGCCGCTAAGCTGTTTTTTACTGAAAAATTTCCCTGGAGGGTACTTTTAGGTTATCTTGTAACATTCCCTTGGCTTCGACCGTGAAACGTTACCGCGGATTGAAACTTTTACATTAGGCCAAAGATTTCTCCAAAGGAAACTTCGCATGTTTCGAGACTACCGTAGAGATCTTTGGACGTAGATAAATATGTATACTCGTGACAGAAGTGTACAGAGACTTATAATCGGATTACGCTTAATTCGTTAAGCGTACCGATATCAAAGACGCAGTGACTCTCGGCAAGTTCTTCAACAATATCAATTATATCGTAAATCGAACCGTACAACGAGTCCATGAAACAAAGTATGCCTGTACACTTGTTGTTCGCACGATACGATCCTGTCGATCGTTTATGTACATTACACCTTATCGGCTACTTATCGGCTAACTGACTAGCAATCGAGGACCGAAGAACGCGGAAATCCGATCGATCGATCGGTCCCCTTCTCGAAAGTTTCTTTAACAGAGAGTTACGAAAGTTGATAGAAGGAGCACCAGAGTTAACGAGTAGTTCTAGGGAGACTTCTAACCGGTCCGGTTACAGCCGAGGGCGTACAATCGGAGTACGCGAATATCAATGAACTGAATATTCTCGGACTTCTCGACTGAATCTTCTTCGGGATATCTTAATTCCGTGAGAATTACGGAAACTTCACCGGAATAGCAAAGTTGATCGATGACCAGTAATCACATTTCAGGAAAATTTCGCAAGACAACGAACGCCATGAATTCGAAAAGAACGTACGCGGAAGTCGGGCAATTTTCGTCCCTGAGAAAATGTTAAAACACGGACCGATCCTATTTCGCTGTTCTTATCCGCCGTCTCTATGAATTCTTGAAAGAGTTCGCTACTTCCCAATCTGCAATTCGTTTCGGTTCCCTTGCTCTGGACACGATATACATATGTACACCGACGTCTCGAATGAATTTGATATCCCGCAAATGATTTCGCGTCTCCCGATTTTCTACTTAGAGTTAAGACTTCCAAGAATTCCCGTAGGAATTTCGTACGTGACGATTACGACGCGTTCCAATTTCTCGCCATCGCGTCGACGGACGGTCTAGTACGGCCACAGTGACGTTTATCCTTCCGCTTTTTAGCCTCTACCTTCGAAGAAATTCAACGCAACCGTGTGAAACACCAGGAACATATCGATTGCCCAGTTACCCTACCCTCACTTCTCTAGAAAGCAAACGATCCAGCAAGGACGATCGGTTTACAGCCTTTCCAAGGAGTTCAGTTCTCCAGCGACGAACGCAGCTTCGGCGTCTTTCTCGAGGACCTCCTTCCCGTCGAACAGTTGATCCTGGCCATCAGGCTCGTTCACCAGGACGCTCTCTTCCCCAGTCTCCTGCGCGTCCTCGGGCGCCAGGAAAAGGTTCGTTCGTCCTTTGCACTTTCTCTGGTAGTCAAGGTTGTCCGGGGCTGGCCTGTGGCAGGAGTCGCAGACGGTGTCGGTCTTGGAGGTACAAGAGTGCGCCTCGTAGAGACCTGGACCACACCTCGAGCAGATCCAACAGGGCTGAATGCTGTGATGTGGGCTGTAGGTACCAGCGGAGCATTTTCCGCATTCGGTGTCGCGGCCACGGACACATCGGTTCACCACGCCCCAGCCTGGACCGCATCTGCTGCAATGACTCCCTCCTTTCTGGTGCCTGATGCGTGGCCTGGCCTCGCTCACCTGGAACACCGGCAGATGCGCGCTCGGTTAGAGAGGTGTTGGGCTAGAGAGGCTTGCCTCTGGTGGTTAATAGGCTCTTTCAAAGAGCCTGGACTGTACACGTTGGGTTTTGTGGGATCAATTAACCGGTACCTGAATGGTGGTTAAATTTTAGAAGAAATTCAGGGAACAAGGAGTTAGTTCGTTTTTTCATAAATAGTCGAAAATATATGCGTTTGGTTATCGTACGAACGATCATAGGATAATTTTCTTCTAACTATGTAGAAACGTATGCTTCCTTTTACAATTTATTTCTCGTCCTGTCTAGAATATTAAAGCCATTGTTTGAGAAAAGAAAGGGGTGCAAACATTTCGTCGATAAAAACGTCGATCATCTTTCGCGATTGTCTCGTCGAATCGTGTTGTAATATTGTATCGAATATCGCAGGCAGCTCCGAAGCCCTTTTCATCTACACTTACAGCGTAGCGTAGCCGAGAACAGGTGCCAAAAAGGATAAAGCCACCTGACCCGTAGAAACACCTTGCGCCTTTCTTTCGTCGCGCATCCGACCACGATCAAGATACAGCCCGAGATGTAAATTAGGATTTTTTGTAGCCTCGGGTTTCGTTACTGTGCTTTTGTGCCTGCTGCCCCCGAAGTATCCCACCGATGTATCCTCGATTTAATTCAATCCAACCGACCAACTACTGCCGGATCATGGACAGGAATAACGGGGCAGGGGTAATGAATAAAATTCTGGAAATGGATTTATTTTTTATTGAAATTAAGTTGGAACAAAGGCGCAGTCTAACTAAAAAATAACCACTCTACTTAACATACGAAAGATATTTACAATTTCATGGTTGTCTATTCGATTTCGTTCGAAGGGGTAAAGAAGGCTGCTGTTGTTCGAAATGAAAAAGAAGATCGGGTCCAGACAGACGACGCGACGGTTCGATCGCAGCTGGCAGTAGCCGGCCGCTGACACGCGACAACGGTCATCAACGTATCAGGTGCATCATTGCACCGGGCCCCCCGTTCATGAAACCCTGTCGATCCTTTTCTGCCGTTTCGTAGCTTTCGTTTACTCTTCTTAATAACGAAGAGGACTATTCGCTTGTCCCTCGGCAACGCTATTGTCGACTCCGTTTAGAACATAGAGGTCACATAGAATGGCCTGAATCCCTTGAAACCTCGTGCTCCCTCAGCCTCTACCACTGGTGACTTTATTTAAGTAGGAGAAATCAGTCGATTCGATCGATATATTAGAATTTAATCAAAATCAAGGAAAATAGAGGTATACATAGCTTTAAGATTCGTAGCTTCGAGCACTCGAGCGATTGTTTTGGTACGAGGGTACTTTAGGAACAAACCGTCATAAACAGGGATTCCTGGACAGTTGCACATCACGTGTAAAACATTCGCGAGATTATCGCGAGTACACACCGCAACGAAACGGAAAAACAACTACATACTTTCCAACGCAAGACCACAACTGTGAGTGGGAGCACAAGGATATGTGAATGGAACACGTACAAGTACCCACGTAAGTACACTCGATCAATGCGTAATAATATGTATGCACATGTATACATATATGTATAACCAAGACTGTCATCTTATCGGTCTCGTAACACGAGCCCACTCCTCGCGTAAGGATGCACCCTGTCAATTTGCGGGTGAAGCGAGTCCGGTGAAAAGGCTTAATAATAGCGACCCCCGTGTGTCCCGTTGAACAAATTACCCCCCGACCGCATGTACGGCATATGCTCCCCTACCTCAATAAAGTAACCAGAGGTCGAGAGCAGACGGCACTCGGTATACATATACAATACCTACGTATACACACTCACCGCAATGTCGTACCGCTCACTGTCGCGCGTTTCTTTTTATCTCGATTTCTTCGAGCTGATGGAAACCCAACGCGGTAACCCGGTCACGCGTCACGCGTCACGAACAGGAACTCGCCGCGCAAATACAAAGACCGTATGGGACAATAATTCTCTTCTCTCTTTCGCCCTTTCTCGACCAACCGGAATTAATTTAGATTCGCTAGTCGTCGCGTACCATTGCACATGTCCGCGATGTTGTAGTCGAATCTAAAAGGTGTGTCAGACCAGAAAAGGTTAGGATGTTTTACCTGATATCACATTGGTCTACAAAGAAACAGTTGGAAAATAACCATCCGTATAATCGTTTCTAAAGAGCGGTGTTACATAACCAGCACCAAAGCCACTTCTTGTGGAAACGGTCGTCTCGCAAAAGAACGCGTTACGGATTATTCGCCGTGAAATTATCACGGCGCAAAGAAAACGCTTATGATGGCCGGGTGAACGCGAGACGGAACCGAAGAATAATTTTCTTCAGCTCCGGTGACCGGTGAACCGTACACTCTCTCGAAAGGGCACCGTCATCGTTCAAGGAGGGTTCTTAACTTTAATCAATAACAAAAGGGTGGTCTGTGAACGGGAAGCGAGGAAATTACGTCTTCGGAACGGGAGCCGCGTTGCAATCGACGGCCGGACGAATCGGTGCCGCGGCCGACTAGAAACGGGCCTTAACAATTTCCGATCGTTTACTTCAGGGTAACCAGGCACAGCCTGGCCGTAAAATGCGAAACGTCGAATGAACGTGAGATGGAATATCCTGAATCGATGAATCCAAGGAATTTGCAATGTGCTCGGTAAAGAAACTGAACATCGGAGTTTTTTTTTTTTCACAAAAACGGCGGCAAAATCGGCAAGTACGACGAGAGAGACTTATGATAGATATAGGGTAAATGTCCCAATTATTGCAAGTGTTCCAAAAAACTGGCACTTTATTTATTTTACTTAATAAGAACGTAACGTATGCAATGAATTTTGTAAGAGACAAATTTTATTATTACATCAGGACTTTGATTTACATAAAAACAAAGATATTCATGTATCATGTACGTACCTGGTGCTTAAAGACTAATGTTGAAAAATGAAAATGCAATTAATTATGCGTCGAAAACCGCGACTATGTACCTAAGTAGGAAGTGATGACGAAATCAACTAATACTTGTACGAAGAATATTTATAGACAACGTATCAATTGTTTCGCGAGAGAACAACTAGAGCGAAAGAAAAAAAGTAAAATGAAAAAATAGAATGATTTACGAGCGTACGTGGACCCGCAACAACGATGACGGAAGTACAACTGTGTTGGTAGTGTCGCGTATGAATAGGACTTCCGGCAGCACAGACGAACCGGAAGTGGTAATTGTGACGAGTTTTGTGTATTTCCCTTTTTTTTCAACGCCGGTATGCTGCCGCGTCGCACCAATAAATTCCAATCGAAAATCATTTCGTCCTGGTCGACGAATCGTATGATAGAAATATCTTTCCCTTCTAATTTCCTGTTCCGCGCGTCTCCCATCCGCCCCTTACGCTCTCGCTGAATTCATTTTTATTTTTTATCGATTTTTAAATAACCGATAAAACATTCTTATTCGAACGAATCAATTATCATAATCGTCGTCTTTAATTAGAAAGGAACCTTGTTATTTTTAGAGGCGAGACGAACTACTGACGCATTCCGAATCTCAATTTTCTCGTTATATCATATATTTAGCTGTGGCTCAAGATCTACATTGCTCGAGTAGCCAGGCATATTCAGCGCCCAGCTGAAGAACAGAGTTCGTTTTAATCGCAGTCTGCTGCGTACGGTGCAACGACGCGTACACCAGATCAAGCGTCGGTAGATGTTAACCCTTATAGTACTTTATAAGTTTTCCGGGTACCGTTCAAAAAATATCTTGAAATAGATGCAATCTTTAACGTTGACATATCTTTCTTGAAAATGAAAATCCGATAATAATTCGGATATCCATTTACGAAAATGAGAATTCAATTTCTTGGCTCGCTACTCATTTTTAAATCAACGAATAGTATGGTAACGCAACGCGTCTTTTATTACCGCCTCGTCGACTCGAATATTTCGGCGGTCTGGTAAATTAGTACCCTCGGGCCACTGTGTTTATTCAGCGGCGCGTGCAACGGTGAACTTTTGTCCTCGCCTTCCTGTACGAGTGCCCGGCGACACGCATAAAAATGTATATCGAATATCTGTCCTGTGTTCGATTCCCGAGCAATTCCATGCTTCATTTTCCAAATATTCCACGATAAACTTTCGATAACCGAAAAACCGTGATCAACACGTTTGTGAAGACGAAAGAGGAAACTTTGAAACTTTTCTACAAAAAGGCTCCTTTTCCTCGAGTCCCAAGAACACTCGTGTATGCCCAGTTCTGCTCGTGCAACGGTCCGTGGAATGTGGAACCAAGGGGGTTGATCGTTGCGCGCACGTGTTCCTAAGAGACATAATGTCCCGGTGCCGAGGAACACCGTGCCTAGAGAGTGCGGTGTCACGGCACGCTGAACTTTTCCCCCAGTAAGTCTCGACTTTTGTACGACGACCAGGGCGAGGATCGTCCGGCCCCGGGTTCCATGCAGGAAAGGCCCACTCGACTCGACTCGACTCGACTCGACTCGCCTCGCCTCGCCTCGCCTCGCCTCGCCTCGCCTCGAGGGGTGAAACGAATCGACGGCGCAGCTGCGCCAGGCAAGTCTGATAATTATCTTCCCTCACCGCCACCCCATTGTTCCTTGGACCGCCTCTTTGCGATCGGTCGTATTCCGTCTCGCGTAGCTAGTCGGCTCCTTCTTGCCGGACCCTAGGGCACCGACTTCCCTCGAATCGACTCCACTCCTACGCAGCTGCGCTTCGGGAGGAATATCGAAATCAAGGGGCCACGAGTCCCGGGAACTGTCTCGGGCGGGCACGATCAACGAGCCTGTTCCTCTTTTCTTCCGGCGAACGGAGAAGATATACAGAGCTACATTGTGGCGTAAGGGAATCACGAACGAGTGGCCATACTTACTGGAAGAAATATACAGGGTGCTTCTAGAAAATGTTAATTCTTTGTAGCCTCCTGTGATTTTGAAGTTATCGATATTTTTTTGGTCTAATTTAATTTATACATATACTGTATGGT